GGGGGGGGGGGGGGGGGGGGGGGGGGGGGGGGGGGGGGGGGGGGGTCAGGTGCCAGCAGGGAGCAGCGGGCCGGGTACCTGGGGGCTGCGAGAGCTCCAGGCGCTGGAGGCTGTTGCGCCGGGACGGGTTGAAGCTGCCCTTGGAGAGGCGTCTCTGGCGGCTGGAGAGCATGGCGGCTGGGGAGACGATGCCGGGGGGGGCCTGCTTCCCCATCCGGAAGTACAGCTCCTCGATCTCCCTCTTCTGCACGGCCTGCAGCGTCTGCACTTCAGAGAGGTGCCTGGGGACAGCGGGGCCGTCAAGGCAGGGCAGGGCAGGGCGCAGACGCCTGTTTCTAGCCCAGCTGCCCATAGGGAGGAGACTGGCAGGAAGCTCCCTTACCCCGCCCCAGCACTGGCCAGCAGCCCCCCGAGAGCTCCCTAGAGCCGGAGGCACTTGCACAGGGCCCAGCTTGCTTCCCTGCCGCCCCCCCAGCAGAGCAGCACACGGGAAAGGCCGAGCCGGGTCCCCCACTCACTTCTGGCGCAGGCTCTGCAGCTCCTCCCAGATCTCCTCGTCCTCGCTCTCCGTGTCGTCGCTGCTCAGATAGGACAAGCTGCGCGCGTAGCTCATCCACACCTGGCTCACCACGGCCTGCTGAGGGCTCTCGGCACCGCCCTCCCCGGGCCCCTCCTGGTCGCTCTCCGCCAGCGCCACCGGCGTCCCCTCCTCGGCCAGCTGCTCGTCCGGGTCCTGCACCGGGGTGTCGGGGACAGAGTCCGAGTCGGGGCTCGTGCTGCCCTCCGTGGCGGAGGAGCTGGGCACCGAGGGCTGGGAGGAGGCGCCAGCCGCCCCCTCCCAGGGCTCCAGGCCGCTCTGCTCACTGTCGCTCTGGCTCTGCTGCCCCAGGGGGCTGTTGGCTGGGTCCTTGGACGTGGTCACCTGGAACCGGCCCAGAATCTGGGGCTTGGCCTCTGGGAACGAACGGGGAAAGGCGGGTTAGCAGGGAGCCGGCTCAGCGTGGGCCAGGGCAGGTGTGAGCGCTGGGCGTGGCTCTCGGTGCACTGGTGGGAGAGCTGGCACCAGGCACTCTGCAATGCCAGCCCTGTTCCCACCACAGCTCAGCCAGCAGCTGCCACCCTGAACGCTGCTTGGACAGGCCTTTACCTTCGTTGATGGGGGACAGCCGGGCCTTGGCCGTGCCAGGAGCGGGCGACTCGGAGACGATCAGGTGGCTGCTGGGTTTCGGGGAGCAGGGCGATACCTAGGAGAGGAGCAGGGCGATACCTAGGTGAGCCAGGTCAGGGAGCACCAAGCCGCCCCCATGCAGGGTCCTGGCCCCAGCAACATCCAGGGCCATCTAATCCCTGGCAGCAGATGGGCCAGGGATTGAGCTGCGGCTCCTTGGCTCAGGCCCAAACCTCCGGATTAACAGGCTGCTCCAGGCCTGGCGCCGAGCCAGCGGCTCGTCCCCCGGAGTAACACCAGCCCCAGGGCTGCTCTAACTGGTCCCAGCATCACCCACCCCCTGGGGCCATTCCACCGCAGCCAGCCCCTTCCCACCAGCCCTACACCGAGAGCTGGGGTCTCGCGCCACCTAGGGGCTCCCCTGGGGGCATGTCCTGGCTGTGCCCCCACATTCCTGGGGCCTTCTGGCAGCTGTTTGACCCACCTCACGCTGCAGCGCCCAGGCCCCTTCTGGGGGTGCTTACCGAGCCGCTGTCCAGCGCCCCCGCAGCAGGAGCTCTCACCGATGACAGCGGACTCTCCCCGGTGCCGCTTCTTCCCAGGCCCTGAGGGGCAAGAGCTGGCGCCCAGTCCCCCGTGACACGGGTGCTGGTGAGCTCCTGGGTCCCATTGCAGCATGGCGCTGGCTCCACCAGGCCTGCGGGGCCAGGGGAGGTGGAGTGCGCCGGCCCCAGGTAGAGCGACTGCGGGCGAGGTATCGGTGCAGGGGCCAGGGGCCCACCCGGCGGGGGGGCAGCCAAGGAGACGGACGGCAGCAGCGTCTGGGCCATGCTCATCATTGCCAGGGAGAACATCTCAGCCAGCGAGAACAAGGGGGAGGTGGCAGGAGACCAGGGGGGTGCAGTGGGGGCCGTGCTGTTCATGGGTGGGCTCAGGGGGCCCAGGCCTCCCCTGGGTGGCGTGGTGGGCAGCAGGGAGCCCCCAGCCTGGGGCCCGGGCCCGGCCGTCTGTGGGAAAGACTGGGACGTCGGCGGCTGGTACGGGGCCAGGCCAGGCGCCATCAAGAAGGAGGGCCAGCTCCAGGCAGTTGCACTGGGGGAACCTGTGGAGGAGAAAGGGATGAGCGGGGGGGGGGGGTTAACCATGTCCCCACTCCACGGCTGGGTGCTCCCCCTCCCTCTCATCTAGGGTCCCCACATCCCTGCCCCCACCCCCCTGCAGCTAGCTGCTCCCTCGGTGGGGCTGCAGCGTGGGCGTTCCAGCCCGGCTGGGGGCCGTGGCCGGGCCTGGGGAAAGTGGGGAGGCCGGTACCTGGCGGTTCTGCTGGGAGCAGAGGCTGCAGCCCAACGGGCTGGGTCCCTGGCGGGGTGTCTGCGAGGCTGAAGACGTCGTTTTCAGAGGGGGAGCCACTGAGCGAGGGCTGGACCGGAGCCAGCTCCGACTGGCCTGGGCTGCTGCAGCCCAGGTCTGGGACAGAGACAGGGAGTCAGTCCCTGCACCGCGCAGCCCCGAGACCCCCGAGAAGCAGCCCTCCCCCCACTGCAGCTGCCGGACAGGGGGCGGCGCAGGCCTCTCCCTGCATAGGGCAATGCCACCTGGCTACCGCTGCCCGGGCTGCAGGCACCCAGCCGGCCGCAGGAACCGCCCTTCACGGCAGACATGCTTCCACCACAAGCCAGCGGGCAGCACAGGGCCACCCGGCCCAGCCCCCCAGAGAGGGGGTCTCGCAGGCCCAGGGCTGGGGCGCCCTATTGGAGGGGGGCAGGGGGTGGCAGGCACGTACCGCTGAGCAAGGACGAGGCCGAGATGGAGCGCGAGAGATCCTGCAGCTGCAGCTCCACCTGCCAATGAGAGACAGGGCCTGTGATGGGCCAGGCTGGGGCTGCGGCAGGCTCTGGCCCCCGCACCTCCCCGGGACCCCCCGGCAGAGCCCGGGAAGCTGGAACATGGTCTCTGGAGCGATGCATGGACAGAGGTGGGGGGGGGG